CCCCCCTCCATGTACTACCCCACCCCCCACCATGTGCTTCTGGCTCCCTGTCCACACTGCTCCCCCCACCTTGGGGCGCTCGGCCTATTGCACTCTGGGACTGGGTATTCATAGGAGGGTTGGCGGGACTACAAAACTACATCCTTCTGGAAGTCAGTGGTATGTGCAACTAGTACTTAACTCACTAGCTTAAGCAAAAATTGGTTGACAGCAAATGTCTCGATATGTAAAAAAATGAACTATAAAATTACAACTGGGAATTAATTTCGGAGAAACAGCACATGATCCAAATCCCAGCTCCTCTGTTTCCTATCTGTGTGATTCAGGACAGACATGTTTACCTCTCTACTGTCAAAGGGGGAGAATAATGCTCACTGGTCACATGAGAGGATCAAATATGGGAAGGGCCCAGCCCAGCACGGGACTCAGTACCATCAGCACCTGCCTCCTTCTCCTCCCGGTGTAGCTGAATTCAATCATCCGAAGTTGGAGTAAAGGAGGAAAAACAGGATGTTGATAACAAGTCAGATAGAGGAGGGAAGAGTTACAAGGTAGAGAATGGGAAATAGAGGCAGAAATAAGGGGAGAAGGAGAGCATGAAAGGTCACGTCAGGGCAGAGGTCTCCTTAGACAGCAAAAGATTTAGCGACCCCAGCCAGAATTATGAAAGGTTTAACTACTCTGGCCCTACTCCGCTCCCCTCAGGCCTTCCATTCCGCCTCTATAAATGAGGGCGCCGAGGGCTCACTTCCAAGGTCTCTACAATTCCTCTGCTATGTCATCCTGCAGCTTCTCCACTTAGAAAGGCTTTGGGCTGGCTAAAGGGAACATAAAATCAAGATGAAGTCAGAATATTTGAAACCCGGACTGACTCTCCAATTCCAAAACTTAAAATTGTGAACTCCTTAGCAGATGGGCAGAAGGTAAGACATCACCCAAAGAATATGTAAATTACTGCTTTCAAAGGAGTTTGCATTTTAAAAGCTCCCTAGGGATCTCACTAACCTCTCCCCTCCCCCACACTTTGCCTAAAACAAAGCAAAGGAGAGTCTTTAAAAAAAAAAAAGACTACAACGAATAGCAAAACAGGATAAACCTCAAGTTTGGGAACCGAAGCCGCCTATATACTTCTCCGCAGATGGCAAAGGATTCAGAGTAAGGGGAAGGTCCAGAATATAGTTATACAATAGATATTCTCTAAGCATTGCTAGGAAATGGGTGTAAACTGTAGGAACAGAGCAGGGAACAGAGGAAATATAAGGCTAGGCGAGGTACCTCCTGCAGGATCTTGCAAACAATAGGCACTAACTAATTCTCTTCCTCTCCCTTCCCAGTTCGCAAGTAGCTTTAAAAACCTGGCTCAGCTTTAAGAGGAACTTAAATTCTGGAGGAAAAACTTAAGAAACATCATAATTTAGCAAATGGATAATCAGTGCTGAAAAACTGACCTGCCATATCTAACCACATCTAATAACTTTAGCAATTCCTACTCTTAAAAACATCTACCCTCCCCCACCAAAAAAAAAAAAAGAGAGAAAGAAATGTGTCTGCAACATGGAGTAAGGATAAAAGTAAAATCCCACAGAATTCTAACTCATTTTGTACTTCTCAGCAAAAACCTAAGCATGTCATGGTGAAAGGTGACATGCTTTGAAAACCCAGGCAGACCACATGTTGCAGAGTTAGAGAACAAAATAGCCCACTTCATAAGAACGCCATCGTTTAATTGCTCAGGGTTTACGAACATTTCGAAATTTGCCATTACCTTTTCTAGTGGAAGTGCGAGGATTTTAGTTTGCATGATGAAACTGCTCAAGTGGTAGCTTCAGCATGAGCACAATTTGTTAATGTCCATAATGTACCCCATGATAGCCCATACATGAGTCTTTACAGAACTGTATTTTGTGGTGGCTCTTGCATTTACGAAGTACATACTTTTATTATTATTATTATTATTATTATTCAGTAAAACCATGTTCTCAACACCCAATCATTCTAGGCTCTGGAAATAGAAAAATGAGCAGAATACTGATCCTGCTCTCCAGGCATTCACAATTGATAGTGTTTCTAGCATTTCCACAAGTTCATTTTCTCTTAAGTCTCTATTTACATATCCACTTAATAACATCTATTCATTCAAGCACTGCTCAAATATTTTTTACGCCATAAATTATACCATTATTTCTTCTCTAAGCATTTTGGTAACAGTTATCTACAAGCAACTACCTGGTGTGGAAGTGTGCAGGCCTGAATTGATTTAAACGCAAAATGTATCCTAATAAACTCAAACAACCATCATATTTATCAAGATCTATGCCTCTGGGGCAATACCCTTCCCAGGGTTAGAACCAACAAAATTCTAGGGACTCTGGGAACCCTGGGGACAGATGCCCAGTGCCTCTCGCAGTTCTGCACTCGGAACTGGGAACTGTGCTCACTTGCCTAAAATAGTTTTAACCTAAAAGGCCTTGAGGTTTGATTTTTATACCCGGAAGAATCTAATAAAGTAGCAAGTGTGCCTGAAATCTTTTAAGTATGTTTAGATGTCTGATCGCCCACTACTTCTATTTCCCTCATATTCAGTATGGAAAAAGAATCTTTCAAATAGCATTTTCCTAAAATACTGGATATAACTGCATTTCTACCAAGTCGATATGTGACAGTTAACCATGAAGTATCATGGCATCAGGCTCCTGACTGGTGGCAGTCAGAGAACTGGGGTGCAGTCTGACACTATCACCAACAAAGTATTTGTGTCATTGGTCAAGTCACTTCACCTGTCTAGGCCGATAGACTGCAAAATCCCTTATTTTAAATACTAAATGAAGGAAGTGTTGTCTTTTATCTCAGTAAGAACAGAGAAAGGCAACTAACTGTCAGGGTCTTGATATATTTCCCCGAAGATGCAGTTTTTTATAAACATTTCGATGACAGCTTGCTAACAGAATAGAGATCCTTCTTTTTAACCTGCTGGCTTTCTCCAGGCACGTACAAAGGAGAGGTAACCGATGTCTTTTTCTGAATTTAGTAATAAGGGAAAATCCTGATGTCCAAGTTTACCCCAAAGGAAAATAAGACTGTACAAAAAATGAGAAAATGTAAGGTAACAACCTATTTGAGACAACTTTCATGTTCTTTCCAGCCTCGCAATGAACGAGTTCTGTAAGAAGTACATATTTTCTTTCCTCCTGCAGCGGCCCTTTAACAGGTCTGAGCTTCTGGAGCCGCACCCCATCTCTTAACTCAGCCAAAGAACACTCGGCTGCAGCTAACCCAACAGCGCTGGAATCTGCCAGGCAAAGGAGAGCAAACCTTTGCAAAGTGCCACCTGCCCAGCCTCTCCTCTAAACAACCTTGTCCCACACCTTCATGTAAGTGAGTCCCTCCAACCATGCCCTGGCCAGCCCATGCCCTAGGGAAGGGATGCAATGTAATGCTACCAAACCCATTTTGTCAGGGACCGATCATTTACAGAGCGAGATCACAGCAAGAAATAAGATAAGGTTCCTGCTTGTAGGAACTTACAAAACAATCTACCACCACGACTTTAAAATGTGCATTGAGTTTTCTGGATTTTCACTAGAGGACCATATTCATCAGTAATGTTCAGAAAATGCAAAGACAGGAGGTTTTACATTTTTAAAATATCCATTTAAAAAATATCGGCACGTGAAATGAGCAGACAGAAACTTTTGACAATCTTCCCTGGTTCTCTGTACAGTGATAATCATGAATACCAATGGACACCTGGAAATGGCTTAACTGGTACCTAGGCTAGCAAAACTGAGACACAGGAATATTCGTAGGAAAAAAAAAAAAGCAAGCTATAATTTACTAAGCAACTACTATATGCCAGGCAGGATGCAGAGTGTTATATATACATCGATGTGACTAAATCTCAGAAAACCTAAGAAGCAGGGCTCTTTTACTTCACTTTTCAGGTAATGAAACTGAAGGTCAGAGGGGTTGAAAACCTTGGCCAAGGTCATATAGTCAGTCGATGGGAGAGTTGGGATTTGACCCTGGCGGACTCACTGCAAAGGCCAAGAGCTTCATTCCTGTGATAACGGGGGTACACTGTTCATCATTCCCAAAGGAATTTCGTTCTAAAAACTACACCTTCTATTTGAAAATTCAAAGTTACTGAAGTAAATCTAAAGCCTTTTTGATAATCTACACAACTGCCAAATCTTTAAGCTAAAATTGACTTTTTACACGTGGATTAGGACGTCTGACTGTAAATAACCCCCACCCAGCTCATTCCAGGCTACCTGCCTGCCATCTCCACCACAGCAAATCTTAAACCCCCAGGCATACAACTCTGAACAAGTTAAAGCTTCTTCCTCTGTGCAGAAGAACTATTTTTCAGAAATTATGCCAAATCCATGGGCGGTTTGAAAAACGTTACTGGACATTTCAAAATACATGACAAGACAGATTTAGCAAAATAAGTCCCATTGTTTTTAGTCCCAAACATATAACAACAAATATCCTGTAATTCTTCAAGCTGAAAAACTGCAAACAGACTAAGTAAACTTTTTTGGTGGTTCTGAGTAAGGGCATGGTTGTTTTTCTCTCATGGTCAGACAACGAATGGTGAAGAGATAAACATCAGTTAACCTCAGCCTCTTCCCAAATCCAACTGTGAAAGTACACCAGCCAAATATTATTTATTTACATTTACTCTCTGAAGGACTCTTTCCAGCGTTTTCCACACCAACTTATCAGCAGGTGTCCCCGATTACACTGTTGACTATCACCTGATTGTTTAAAATATATCTTTGATGTGATCTGTGGCTGGTTATTTTTTAATGAGAGTTTGAAATCCTATGCCGTGTGTATTTAACCCCCCAAGAACTGGAGCCAGAGAAGGACGACTCGGTGGAGCGGGCTTGCCAAGTCGGCGCGCGCCAAGGGAGTCCTCGGTTGCAGAGGGGCTGCCCTGCTCGGCGGGCCCGCGATCGTCCCTTCCCGCGCCTCCCCTGCTCCAGGTGACTCACCAGGATGCCCATCACATCGGCCCAGAGCCGGGAGAACGCCTCCGACATGCTGGCGGCTGTCTCGGGCTCTGGCGCGGGCTGCGGCTCCGGTCCCGGGCCGGCTGCTCCCGCGTCCTCCATGGCTGCGTCCCGCACGCGGGCCGTGCGTCCCGGGGCTGGGGTACCCTCGCCCCGCACCAGCGCGCGCTCGGCCCCCGGCGCCGGGTCCCCGCCTGCTGCGTCACCGAGCCGCGCCCCCGCGTCACATGCCCCCGCAGCCCCGGCGACTCTGCGGGGGCCCCTCGCAGGCGCCCGCACCCCGGACTCTAGGTGGCGGCGGGCTGCGCGCCTGACAACTCCAGAAACTTTCCCACCCGGGCTCCGCACCGCCACTGGGTAGCAGAAGGCAGAGTTCGCACCACTGAGTGTCACGGCGGGGATTTCTGGCAGCCCAGAAGCAATGAAACCTGCTGCAGAGGCGTTTCTTCCTGTGACGGGGACCGACTCACTAAGGCACGCGACTCATTTCTGCCAGCAAGTCTGGGCAGGGCCGCGCAGGGGTGACCGCGGTGCCTCTGGAACCTGGAGGGAACTTCCCGGGACCCCTCTCTTCAAAATGAGCTCTTCCAGCTCCACATGACTCTCTCCCCTCGAAGCTAAAGAAAAGCGTTTAGCAACAAAAGGTGCTCTGATGTCAGGCTCTTTGCATGGAAATGAGCCACAGACAGGAGAACAAATCGCCTGTTGAAAGAGCAGCCGCGCTGCGGTCTCCCGCAGCCACAAGCTTCCAATCACGCTGTTCAACGAAACATTTTGGTCACAGAAACCCGAGAAAGTTCATCTTTAAGCTGCTCCTGCCGAAAGAGTTCACAAGTAGTCAGAGTCGTGACAATCCACACCTCGCCCCTCGGGAAGTCAAGCGACCTAAGGAATTACAACTCTTGCCTCTGTCAGCCAAGACTTGGTTGAAAAACAAGTGTGAAAGCTTGGGCACGAGCCATTGTTTGTATCGTTTTCATTATGAGTGGGGACATTTTGGTTCCTGCGCGCCCACAACGCCATGCACTGCTAGGGGTTCCAACTAATGAAGGGAAATGAGCTTTGGGTTTTAACGGTTCCCTTACAGCAAGGACAGAGGGAAGGGCCATTTTCAAAACTAAATGTTATGGCTGTAGCCATTTAGCCAATCCACACTTGGGGTCCCGTGTGTGTTTTTCCAAGGACAAGATCCATGACAGATTTATTTTATGAAGGAAATAGCCCCGTGGAGGTATTTCCCCTTTTGTGATGCTTTCTTTAAGAACCACTCAGAGAATTTTCCCTGGGAGATGACAATACGTGTCACATTTGATCTGGTGATTGATCACTTTGTGAAACAGTTAAGAAACCACCAGAAACCTACCCTTATGTTAAAGGGCGGAGTGGTACAGAAAAGCAGGTGAGGTGCCCCAAGGAAAGCTTTGCTAGTTTTAGAGGTCTCTTGGGGGGGGGGGTGCTGCTTTTTAATTCTGAGCCCACATAAAAGGAGAGGGTAAGAGGATGTCCTCGAAACCCCCTTACTAAAGCATTAGTTACTGGGATGACTATCCAGGCAAATAGATGAATAGCCTTTACAGAAAAGTTCCAAATTTAGATACTTTTCCAGAAGTAATTAAATTTATATGCATAATCCTAGATGACAATATTTTTGAAAAGAAGAGAAAAAAATGAAAAAGTTTTCCCTTGATAAGAGGAGGCATCGTATTTAAGTGGAAAGCAGTTGGACCCTAAACATGAGCAAGCTTGGTGCTTTCTTGAGCTGATGCGGAGTTAGGCCATTGTGGGTGCTCTAAGATGCTCTGAATGGAGATAAGTTCAATTAAAGCAGTGGTAGGCTTACTATGATTGTTGTTGTTATGTCTATAAAGACATGAAAATAAACAAATGATGGGAAAAGTTAAAATAACCCTTTAGAGTTGATGCTATTGGTATATTCAAGAATTTTGATGTGCATTATTAGCCATGTGGTACTTTATTATGTTCAAGAAAATACAAAGAACTGTGCTGCTGCTACAAGTGGGGAGCTTGTTCTCTGCATAATGACTTTCTGGCGAGTGACTGAACAAGGAGTCAAACAGGGGCCTGGGGGCTGGGTTAAGGAGACGGGTGACTCTCCAGCACCAGTCATGAGCCTTTCTCTTAACTCGTCAGATGATGTAGGGGCAAAGCACTTAACCTTTCCAGGATGAAGTTCCCCTATCCAAGATGAGGCGGGACCACGTTGATTGCCACCCATCTCCTGAGAGGTGATATTTTATTTCCGGTCATCTAAAGATATTATATTTCCGGTCATCAAAAGCCAGCATTTTGGTACTTATAGAAACCAATCTACTCTCGATAGGTAAGCCTCTTTTCCTGGTGCTCCCTAATAAGTGGCTAGAGAAATGAGATTAAGTAATATTTGGGGGGATGTCAATAACAAACATTTTTTCTGTGTACATCAGTACGAAATTTTGAGTAGTCACTCTTCTAGAACATGAATAATTTTCTTGACCATTTGAAAAAATGAAGCTAAACCTTTTTACTCATCAATTTCATGATGTGGCCAATCAAAATGAATCTGATTACTTCTCCCAAATTTGAGTGTTTTCTCCTTTATTTAATGCCAATTTTTTTTTCCAGAAATTCTTTCAGAGACTTTTTAACAAAATATAAAAGAATAATCATCAATGTCACAATCATCGTCATACTATTTCAGAGTCCCATAGGTACTATGTACAAGATCTTTTTATAACAGGGGTGGGAAAGGGCCTTGGAGGTGAGCTGGGTCAAATCTCTTACTTCTCAGATGAGGAAATGGGCTCCTGAGAACTTGAATGATCAGGCCAAGCGAACATGGCAACATGGAGCAAAATCAAAGCCAGCCAACTTGATGACTTTTAAAAGCGCTTTCATCTCTATTGTAAAGTGTTTCTTTCTCACGTAGCTCTGGAAGGTAGGCAAGCATAGATGCCCCATCAAAGATGTGTGTACAGAAAGCGCATAGGAATCTGCTCCCCCTTTTCCATTTCCATCAGCACGCTCTCAGACCCAGTTCGGTGGCACTGTTGATGTGGATGGGTGAATTCCAAAGGAAAAAAGGGATCTGGAAGAGAATTTTCCAGAAATCTAGTAGAGACACTCAGAAATTGGTTGTGAAATCCATTCTGTGGGTCCTGATAAATGTTTTTTGCGATGAATGAAAACTATCAGAACGTATTCACTGAGAGTAAATATTGATAATGCACCTAAGTGTTATTTCTTGAAAGTTAGTCTCAGTCATATTGTTGCACATATATGTGTGCTACACATATGTACGTGTGCATACACTTAAACGTATAAATAATGTCTTGCTTTGTAAAAAGTGGTTCTTACTATGAGTCAGGATTACAAAAGGTTAAAAGCCACAAGTCTAGAAGTTGCAGGGTGTTGCCTGCAGCCTATTTAGGTCATCATTCTGATTTAAGAAAGATAACAAGTCTATTGACTGGCAGTAAAGGTAGAGTTTGGTGGAATGAAGCACACAGATAATGGGGGCAGGACAGAGCTGGGTTTGAATAAGACTCCAGTGAAAGAGCAAGTTATTTATTAAGCAAGTTATTTACATCATATGTAAAAATGGGATAATTCCACCTATTTAATATGGTTGTTTTGAGGGTGTCTGTGATAATGAAGGTGATCATTCTCTATGTATTAGAATCTTTCCCCCTTTTCTCTCGCTTTGCTCTTCCTATTCCTAGCCACTCATACCATGAGGTAATATCTATACAGTTTCCTTGTTCACACCTAAATCTCTTGGTTTACACCTGGCTCTAGAATGCGGTTGCTGAGTAATGAAGTTAGGCGGTTACCTCTGCCAGGGTAGGGTCATTAGGACTACTCAGTTTTGATAGTAAAGGTAGTAATAAGAGCACTATCTATCATTTATTAAAAATCTATTCCACGTCAGGCACTGTGCTTGACGTTTAAAAATTATTTTATTTAAACTCGAAGTAGAATTTATGATTTCTCACTACGGCCCGACCCTCCCGCCCTGCTCATTTCCCATCTCAGTAGCACTCTGTTCCATCCACCTATCAGTTCAGGCTACCAACCTCAGAGACATGCTCGATTCAGTTCTCTCTCTCACCGTCACTCCATTCTAAACCATGGATTAACCCTGTTGATCCTACCTCTTATATATATGTTAAATTCATCCACTTCTCTCCATCTCCACTGCCACTACCTTAGTCCATAGTACCATCATCTACAATATTTCATCTAGATCAGTGCTTCTCAAAGTGTGAACTCAAGAACAGAAGCGTTAGCATCACCTAGAACTTGTTAAAAGCGCAAATTTTCACACCCACCCCCCAAAGCCTAATGAGTCAGACACTCTGGGGGTGGGACCGGTGATCTGTATTTTAATAGCCCCTCAGGTCATTGTGATATCTGATTAAATCTGAGAGCCACTTGGAACTATGGGGATGTGAAAATAAGGAAAAGTAACACATTGCCGAGGAAATGTGAACTTTTAAAATATAGTATATTGAAAAATTATACCAGTAGATCGCTCTGGGAAATTAATTGGTGAAAGGAGCCGAGATTTCCAAATCAGATGTTTAAAGATACTTGGTTTTAAAGGGCAATTAAATATAGTTATATGCTGCATAATGATGTTTTAGTCAAGGATGGACCACATATACATATGATTGTGGTCTCAGAAGATTATAATGGAGCTGAAAAATTCTTATGCCCAGTGACACGGTAATGTTCTTGTGCAATAGATTACTCACATGTTTGTGTTTGTGGAGATGCCGGTGGAAACAAACTTACTTTGCTGCCAGTCATATAATTGTATATGTTATAGACTTGATAATGATAATAAATGACTATGTTACTGATTTATGTATTTACTATACTTTTTATCCTTATTTTAGAGTATACTCTTTCTACTTACTAAAAAGAAGTTTGCTGTAAACAGTATGCTGTGTTATTGTAGCATCAGCCTTGTACCTTTTATGTTTACCGCCTCTCTTGATTGTATCATTTTCTCTTGTGCTTTAGTCTCCTGTTGTTTTGTACAATAACATGCTGTACAAGCTCGTAGCCTAGGGGCAATAGGCTGTACCATATAGCCTAGGTGTGTAGGAGGGTATACTGTCTAGGTTTGTGTAAATGCACTCTACGTTGTTTGCAAAACGAAATCACCGAATGGCGCATTTCTCAGAATGTATCCCCGTTTTAAGTGCTACATGAATGACTACTGGAATTAAAATGTATTATTCATAAGAATAGCACATGTTTTGGGAACAGAGTTCCATTTAAATCATTGTTATTTTTTCAAGACAACACATTTTCTGCAGAGAAAATGTGAGATTAAGTGGAGATTAAATGTGAAAGATTATAAATA